TACAGGCTTGTCCTGTTCCCAAATCACCGAATGGGTGAAGAACTTTAAAACAATACAAATAATTTCAGGGTAGAGGAGAAAGGAACTCAGCCTGAAATCCCTGAGCCCTGTTGCTTACACTTGGATAATTACTTTTAAAATGTTAGTCTCTCACATAGCACCGCGAGTGGTTTTTCAACAGAAACCAGATCTGTGTTCCTCCCTATTGGGTCCTCAATTAATGAAGACATGGTCCTTGCCCTCACAATGCCAGACTTCCCAGACAGATAATTATATAACCACGATGTAGGATGCTCCCATCTGTAACAAGAAAGCAGCAAGCGCCTCGTGAGGATGTTTGACTGTGACTGAACTCGGAATTGTGTGCAGGAGGAGCCCCAGAGGAAGTGGTAAACGAGCTGGGGTCTGGGGGGTAAAGATGTTACTAGAATAAAGCACTGGCAAAGGACTCTGTAATTTACACTCCGACTCTGGGTTTATTTCGAAACGCACAGAAAGGCACTGAAGCATATAAACAGGGGGCTGGGGACCCTTTAAAATGCCACCCTGTCAGACAGAGAACCACAAAGAGTGTCTGGAGGTGGCAACAGCTGTGAGGAAATGTTTCCATACTCCAGACAAGTGTGCAGCACATCTGGTGGCCTGAGCTAAGGCCACCGCTTTGGAGACCGGCAAGCGCACACACCGGTGATCCGGAGCAGGGTGAGGGGGAAAAGGGTTTAGGAGGTAAACTCATTCTTCCGGCTTTGGGAACCAGGCAGCACCACTGGCTATAGAGATGGCTTGCAACAATCTCCAAGCGCTGTTTAGATCCCGGGTACGTCATGGCTTCCTGCTCATTTTCTCACGCATGAAATTCATTTTCCTGTATTTGTCCTTATCAGCAGCAATCACGTTACCATTTGGAGATGTGAACAGAGTTGAAGACCCCTGACCCTGTCCTTTCACACCAGCTAGATAGGGACCACCAGGTTCTCTTAGGTGCCACATTGTAACTCTTTTTTTTTTTTTAACTCTGTGGCACCTAATCTCTGCCACACTAATCACTTCTGCCATTGAAGTAAAAAGGGAGCCGGGGAGAGGACTCAGCAGTTAAGAGTATTCTTCCAGAGAACCTAAGTTTGGCTCTCAGCACCACAACGGGAAGCCTAGAGGTAACTGTAACTATACTCCAGGAGATTGAGACTCCCGCCCCAGGCACTGGCATACGTGTGGCAGACGCACAAACACATATATACACACACATCTTAATTGTAAATGCAAATTTTAGGGTCAGAAGTTTATCTCAGTAGGTAAATGTGCTTGCCACCAAACCTAATGACAATCTGTTTGATCCCAGGAACCTCTCAGTGTGGGGAAAGAAGACATTCCCATAGGTTGTCCTCTGGACTCATTTGCCAAGGCACATGCCACCCTCTCCCCCAAATAAATAAAATATAGTCTAAAAATTACATGTATAACTTACATCACACACACACACACACACACACAGGTATATATATAGTAAAGGGATAGACTAAGCTGTGTTCCAATAAGACCATGACCTTGGTATGCTAAGCATGCGCTCTACCGCTTAACCACACCCCCGCCCACAAATAAAGCTATCTATAAAATTACAGCATGGGCTGGACTTGACCTGTGTCCAGAGATGACGAACCCTGATCTAGGTTTTCGTTCCGACATACCCTGGCATTGTAGCGTCAGCCCACGCTGCTGGACACGCTTTGTCTGGAGAAGCCTGAGGATCGTTCCTTCCTTTGGGGAGAACAGATAGCAAAGCGATGTCACAAAACTGCTGGGCTGTGTGAAACTCCCTTCCGCTCCTATTGTCAAAGGGTGTCCTCTGGGTCACTATCTAAGCCTCGCGCTGTTTTAAGTCACGGGGTAAACAGAGCCTCATTGTCCTGGTTGCATCATAACACTGCCATCGCCGAATAAAATGCAACTTGAAGAGAATCTTCGCTGTCTTTTTCTTTCTTTTCACAGAGGGGTTTGAAATCAGAACTATCTCGACGTCCGATGTAAGAAAGTCAAGTAGTGCCACTTCTCTGCTTGTGTGGAGGCCCTAGGACAACCCCGGGTGCTGCTCACTAAGCATTGTCATTGTCCACTCACCATTTGGAAACGGGATCTCTCACCGGCCTAGAACTTGCCCAGCAGCCTAGGCTGGCTGGTCAAGAAGCTCCGGGGATCAGCCTGTCTCCAGCTCTGCGGCACTGACATCCCAAGCCCGCGCCACCACACCCGGACTTCTCTAACACAGGGATCCTGGAGAGTGAGCTCAAGTCCTCACACTTGCATAGCAAGTGCTTGCTGACTGAGCTGTCTCCTGAGGCCCTCAGAGCCCAGCTTTTGCCTCTGTTGAAAATCAAGTGAGAATCATTGCAGAAGTCCGGTCATCCCCTAGTTGCCAGCTCAAATCCAGGCACACACCTCAGACTATGGGCCCCCGCTACAAACTATCAAACTCATGGGAACGTTTTTTGTTCCTGAGGCTGTCGGGGTTGAAAACAGAGCTCACAACTGAACTGAGGTCCTGCGTCCCATCTGATTCTGCTGGCTTCCACCTCAGTTGTTGCCATTTCACAGCCAAGGTCGAAGTCCTCACGCTGGCTTGCTGACAAGGCACAAGTCAGTCCCTTCCTCGGCCCAACTTGTGCGTTGCTCCATCTTCCTTACACTCGTGAAACTTGAAAAACACGTCTCATGTCAAGCCTTTTGTCCTTGACCTCTGGCCTGGGGCAAATTTATTTAGAACGAATTAAATTATCATGAATACTTGAAATGCTTAAATGCTTGAAGGCACACTGTGATAGTATGAGAAATGTAGAAACACCGTCAACATAGTAGACATTCACACTTCTTGATTTTTAATTAGAGGAAAACAGCTCAACAAAGGTTGTAACGAGCTGGAAACTATAGCATGTAAACTTTCAGCCATCTTAAAGCTGGATGATCATGAGGATCCTGTCGTCACAGACTATGAAATATACAAGCTTACACCAAATCTCTGTGGGGAGAAGGACCACATCTGCAAAAGCAGATTCAGTCCCAGCCCCAAACATCTGGCCTGAAATGGTCACAACAGAGTTCTTGTGACAACATGTGAAGCATGGGCCACACTGGAGAACATGATAGTTTAGCTCTGCGCATTAAGTGGAAAATGCATAATTGAGGTGAGATTCAATTACTTTAAATTAAAAAGCTGAGCCTTTCCTTCACTCCTCCTTGATTGATTGATTGATTGATTGATTGCATCACTGGAGGGAATTAATCAACTACATTATCAAGTCTCCTAAAGGATCTGTTTTGATTAGCTAATAGCATTAAATAAACATGGGGGGGTTCAAGACAGGGTTTCTCTGTGTTAGAGAGCCCTGGTTGTCCTGGAACTCACTCTGTAGTCCAGGCTGGCCTCAAATTCAAAGACCCACCTGCCTCTGCCCCCCAAGTGCTGGGATTAAAGGTGTTCACCACCACACCTGGATGGCTATAACATTTTTTAATTCAAATATTTCTTTAAGAGCTGAGAAGATAAGAAAATTGAGCTTTTAATGTACTAAATGTATTATATTTTGGTCTTACTAAGATAGTTTATGTGGTTTATGTTGGCTTTACCACATTTCTGAGCATTTGAGGAAGGAAAACAAAACACCAAAGGACTGCAACTGTACTTTGAAGCATTAACACTTAGAGGAACTATGATAGAGATTCCAAAGCTAGCGTGGCTTACACAGGTGCAAGTGGATGAGCCGGATTTCTAGGACTTCCCTATGAAGCAGATGGCTCCTTGGAACACTCAGGAGACTACAAGTTGCATAGGTGTGGTATCCACAACTGTATTCTAGTTGTTTCTTTGGAATGTTGTTTTTGTATAATGCTCTATTTTCTAGGAACATGAGGTATGATTTAGATCTGTACAGTGTGCTGGCTGTTTCTTCAAGTTGACCCAGACCTACACATAATTGGGAAGAATAAATCTTAATTGAGAAAATGTCAATATTGGCATATTGGTAAATATGTAGGGTTGTCTTGATCAATGATTGGTGTGGGTGGTAATGGTTGATTATGGGTAGCGCTCCTGCTGGGCAGGTGGTCCTGTATTCTGTAAGAAAGCAGACTGAGCAAGCCAGGAGGAGCAAGCCAGTGAGCAGCACCCCTCCATGGCCTCTGCTTCAGTCCCTGCCTCCAGGTTCTGTCAGCAGGAAACAGTCAGAGAGGAGACAACACATCACTTATTACCATTTATTATCAACACGCAGACTCCTGCCTTGAGGCCCTGGCCTGGCTTCTCTTCTTGATGGGCTATGATTGAGACACAGAAGTTTAAATAAACCCTTTACTCCCCAAGTTACTTTTACTCTTGGTGTCGGTCACAACAATTGAAACCCTACAACACAAATAAACTGCAGGAATGATGGGCCATGCATGAATCAGGTCAAATCCGAGACCAGCCTCTCCCTATGTGTGGTTTACACAATCTTCGAGATCCAGGCTTAGTATTACACATCTTTAGTCTCAGTGCTCACGATGAGAAGAAGGATTATGAATTCCAAACCAGCCTAGTGTGACCCAGGCACACACACACACACACACACACACACACACACACACACACACACTGAGAGACAAGACAAGCATCACACACCCGTAGTTACTCAGCAAGCTTAAGTAGGACAAGCACTTGAGCCTTGGAATTTGATACCAGCCTTAGCAACATAGCTGAACTACCTCTGCAAAAATACCTTTGGGTGGGGCCGGGAGAGATGGCCCCACGGCTAAGAGAACTGTCTGTTTCCCAAGAATCCAGGTTCAATTCTCAGCTCACAGACATCTGTGTGGGTCCAGTCCCAGGGAATCCAACACCTTCTTTTGGCCTCAGCAGTCACGGCACACATGTGGTCCACAGACGTACATTTGGGCATACAAAATAAGTAAAACCTAAAAATTATTATTTGGGGGCCCTGGAATGTGGTTCAGGCAGCAGTGTGCTCACCTACTGTGCACAAAGCCCCGTGTTAGATTTTCAGCCCCATGTAAACCTAGCATGAGGCATATGCCTGTTACCCCGGCACTCGGAAGGGAAAGCAGAGGGGACAGAGGATGAAGATCATATTGAAGGTCATGTAGTGAGTTCGAGGCTAATACGGGACACAAGAGATCCTGCTAATACTACTTTCCGTTGGTTTGGGTATTGGTGTTTTGAGACAAAGTCTCACTGCCTTGAGCTCTTGGCAAGCCTCACGAGTGCTGGGATCCCAAGTGTGACTTTTGACAAAGCCACTGAAAACATACCACAGGTTAAGAGCAGTCTGTCCGCCAGTGCTGCTGGGAGAACTGAATAGTCACATGATCAGAGAAGCGGTCTTGTTGCAGTGGGCGGTAGTCCATGCAGAGATGCGTAAATGGTCCAAGTGCTGAGAAAAAAATAGGCTGAGTGTTCAGCCCCAACTCAGACATCTTTATCAATCACACACACACACACACACACACACACACACACACACACACACACACACACACACATACACCACACGAATACACACACCAAGACTCAGGGAACATGACAAAGAAGAGGCTAAGAGTCTGTAAGAGCAAGAGGAGGGGGAGAAGTGCTGTGAAATGCTGTCTTTGAGAAACGACACAGCTATAACACGAAAAATGAAAGACCCAGAGACAGACATGGGGTTCAAGCTTCAAGCTGAAGCTCAGAGACAAAAAGCAGTAGACCTCACCTCCACCCAGCTGAAACAGCGATCCTGTCATCCACAAATCCTCAGAGGCTCTCAGTTCCGGTTTCCTCCTTCTTACATTCCTTTCTCCGCCCAGACATATCCTCCTGTCTCCACCTCCCTCGTGCTGGAATTAAAGGTGTGTGATGTCAGGTGCTGGGATCACCTTTTGTGTGAGCTGTTTCTTTTGGGACTGGATCAATTTCGTGTAGTCAGTGTGCCCTTGAACTAAGAGAGATCCATCTACCTCTTAATCCTGAGTCCTGAGATTAAAGGTGTGTGTCACCACTGCCTGGTCTCCATGGCTTGTGGCTGACTTTGTTTCCTGAATCCTCAGGCAAGCTTTAATAAATCATAAATAATATATAACCACAGACAGCCATTGCACTCATGAACTCACAGCAGCTGTTGTTACCGGCACAGAGCCAAAATTCTGGCATAGGTGGCGGGAAATACCCTCTAGCCCCCCACCCCTTGCTGAAGAGGTATTGGTAGATGATGGTTACTAGGACAGGGAAAGCCACTCTTTTTGGGGTGTAGTCAGTGGTAGGTTTCCATGCCACACTGGATAGCCTCATACCCATTCATATATGGGTAACACTAATTGGACTTGGTGGGTTAGCAAAAAAAATAAAAATTAAGAGACAATATGAACTTGGAAGGAGAACATGTTAAAATTACATGAGTTGGAGGGGAGAAATAGGAGAGGATATGATCATATCTTATTGCATGTATCTATGAAAAATTATTTTAATTTTTAAAAACATATATTCTAGTAAATAAATAAAATTTCTTTGGTAAATTGTTTAATAACATAATCAAAATTGTTCATTCTTTTCCAGAGAGATTTAGGAGACTACATTACTAAGTTTGGAGGTTATTTTTTCATATCACAGATGTGCCCAGAGGAGCCTGAGATTTTGATCCATTTCTAAGTATAATTTATTAGACTTATAATAGTCCAATTCTAAAGGGGGCTTTTTTGATAAACTAATAGTTTACCTAGTAAGGCATTGGAAGAACTTAAAGAAAATCAAATATATTAAATTTGTTAACCTCCATTTAAAAAGCTTCAGAAAATACAAGTTAAGCTTACAAATGAGACTCACTGTTCAACTGGCTGGATTAATCCAGTATCCCGCTGGATTAAAGGGGCACAGGACAACTATCCTCTAGAAGAGCTTATTTTTGTTTCACTTAAAAATATGCTTAGAAAGTTTGAAAAATAAGTTGCAAGTTAGATAACTAATAAAAAGTTTTATAAATGCTCAAAATGCTTTTAGGTTATATAATCCTTTCCATGGTCAAAATAAATCTTGGACAATCAAAATTCAGACTGATAAAGGCCAGACTTGAAATGTATTATACATAAGAAATCATAATTATCAAAAAATGAAATCAGTGAGCCCAAGGCCATGCATGACACAGCAACAGCAGCAGCTCCCCATCTGTCGCGTGGCTGGCAGTGGAGCAGGGCTCAACCGAACACTTTCTGGGGTCTCTAGCCCAGGGCCTGGACACAGCAACAGCTCGGTAACCATGCCACGCTGCTGGCTGGGCTGGGATCAGCTATGAGCTGCCACCAGTGGGGCAGTCAGACGCCGTTGTGGTGAGCAGTACAGGGCGGGGAGACGGAAGAGAGAGAGGTGGACGGGTTCAGGGTTAGGGAGAGATCTGAAGAGGTGAGGGTGTGAGCGACAGGCTGTGAATGGCTTGCTAGCAACCTGAGTCCAGGATCATTTCCAGCCCGGCTGCTTCCAAGAACCAGTCTTGGCGGGAGAGCCCGAAGCATCCGAGAGGGCGTGGGGTCTGAGGCTCGCATCCACGCTGTGGGTCTTGCAGAGGGCTGTGGTCTGGGCCACCGCCTGGAAGCAGATCAGGGTCCTAGGGCCATGATGCTGTGTGGGCTGTGCGGATCCGAGTGGCCTGCGCTGCCACCGAAGGCCGTGGTGACATCCAGGTCTAGCCTGTTGCTGAGGACCATGCCAGTGATCCAGCCACAGTCAGGATCTGTGTTGATGTCCTCGGCCCATGTTGCCCCCGGAGACGGAGACCACAGGGATGCCTGGGTTCCAGGGCCACAACCTTTGGCCATGTGGGTGTCCAGGGGACAGCGATGCTGCAGGGGCCATGCTGATCTGGCCTGCACCCGGAGCCATGACATCATCCAGGCCCGGAAAGGACGCTGTCTGGGTCGGTCAGTGGCGGGCTCTACAGCAGCCAGGGTCTGCGATGATGTCCAGGCCCCCCGTTGCCACGGAGGACCATGCAGATGCCTGGGGTGTGGTCAGCCACCTGAGACCACGTTTGTGTCCGAGGGCCGTGCCGCTGCCGAGAGCTGTGTCTGTGTCCGCGGTCCTGCTGCAGCTGGGGTTTGTGTCGATGCCTGTTTCCCGTGTTTATGTCCATTGGCCGTGTTGGGGAGTGGTCACAGGAACTGAGGGTGTTGAAATCCTAGAGGCACCATGAGCTGGCCCAGCCCCTCACTGGCCCCGGGATAACTGACCCTGCTCATCAACGGATAGTGCAGCCAGAGAATGAGTGCCCCCGGCTCCACCCCTCACCATGGGCGGGCACCTTACCTGGATAGCACACCAAGCTGACCCTCTTGTTGGGGGATGTAAGTGAGCCTGCCCTGATGGCGAGAGAGCAAGAGGGCCGACCCCACCTCCCCTCATATGCCCCCTACAGCAATTGAGAGAGAGAGCACTGCACCCACCGTGCCTGGGGGTGGGGGGGAGTGGGTGAGCCTGAACCTAGAACATGAGAACTGGCCCTGCTCCTCGCTTCAGGCTGCATCAGGTGGGCTAGACAAAGCAGTGCTGGAGAGCTCATCTGGGTGGTGGTGACAACTGGGGAGGCTGGTGGGAACCTCAGCGTTATGCTGGCCCCGCCCCCTGATGATGGGTGGGACGCGCTCACGCGCGCGCGCGCGCGCGCACACACACACACACACACACACACACACACACACACACACACACACACACACACCAGCATTCAGGCAGATACTTGGACAGCTCAAAGGTCCCTGTGATGCTCGGCCACGTAGTGGCTGCATCACACATTACAGGGCCCTGTGAGGACTCAGACTCAGTAAGCGTGCGAAAGCTCCCCTTTCAAGTGAGCACCTCCAAAAGTTTGCTCTCTCCCTCCGCCCTCTGTCTCCTCATCTCTCTTTCTCTCCCCCTTCTCCGCTTCTGCCCCCACCCCCTCTTGTCCCCTCATCCCTTCCTCCGGTAAACTCCACATGGGTTTGGTGACTTTCATGGTTCATGTCTCCATACACACGTAACTTGAAACGGAAGAGCGACACCGCCCAGGCCCAGAACCGGGTCGTGAGCTGGCCCACCATTATCTATGAACTGCTGGAGTGTGTGAAGGAGACCAACCTGCAGATCCAAAACAGCAGGATCTCCACGACACGGAACTACAGGGTACTCAAGAGGCGCCCCAGTGAGAGACCTTTTCGTGTGGTGCAGCAGAAGCCAGAGGTCTTGAATCAGACTCGGGGCAAGGGAAAAGGAAACAAGTAAAGGGAAAAGTGTACGACTCATTCTTCTCCTGATTATTGTTTGGTTGGTTGTTTTTGGTTGGTTGGTTGGTTGGTTGGTTGGTTGGTTGGTGATTTGGTTTGGTTTTGGTTGTTTTCTGGTTTTGTTTTTCTGTTTTGACTTTTGTTTTTATTTTGTCTTGCTTTCTTTGTTTGGTTTTGGGGTTTTCTTTTAAATTTTGTTTTGAGTGGGAGGTTGCAAGGATAAAGGTCAGATGGGGGAATGGGCTGGATCGGGATACACGATGTGAACTCTGAAAAGAATCAATAAAAGTTAAACAAAGAAATTTCAAAAATGAAATTAACAAGGAAAATATCAGTGTCTGTACTATACTAAGGAAGTTGTTGCTAATGTGTTTAAATATATATATACATATATATGTATATGTATACACACACACACACACACACGCACATTGGGCATAACTAAAAATCACCTATTTACTGAGGACCACAGTCAAAAAGCTTTGAAAGTCACGGTGCTGACACACTAGTGCCTCCCAGCAGCTCAAATTCCCTGTCAAACCCTCCATTGAAAGGCATCTGGAGTCTCAAAAATACCATAAAATTTCCTCAAATGGTTAAAATTCTATTCATGGAATATTCTTCTCATTGATCACCCATTAATAGGTGCATGATTTATTACTACTCAACACCACTGGCTCCCTGGCAAACACCCAGGTTTCCAGATGGAAGCTATTTCTGTCTTTCCACCCACTGTCTTCATTCCCCATTTAATCCTAACTCATACACATCTGCTTATCCTGAGACCCACCCCTTCCCCCAGTGAAAGCAGTCTCCAAATAGCAGTGATGATCTCTCTTCAGTCTTTATCATAACGAGTTCTGTGATGTTTTACTTTGTGTCACCACTATTCTGGGCCACAGGACACCTAAGAGGTCTGGTAAACAATTGTTTCTAGGTGTGGGGGTTGGGGACACTTCCAGGTGAGATTAGTTTTTCAACTGGCAGACTACATAAAGAAGAACAACCCACTGAATGCACTGATAGAATAGAACGATAGAGGAATATCCCTGTCTCTCTCCTCCATCCCTCCCCCACCCTTTCCTGGGCTGGACCATCCACTTTATCTTGCCACCAGACATTGGTGCTCCTGACTCTCTCCCCGTCACATTCACACTCTCCAGGGTTTCTGGCTCCCAGACAGAGTGTCTTGGGACTTCTTATCTCTATAATCACGTGAATCCGGTCCTGTTAATAAATGCTCTCTGATGCAGTCACACGTTGCTTACTGGCAAGCATGTATTCTGAGATACGTGTCGACATAACTTTGTCACTGTGCAAACAATATAGCGCATGATTACACAAGCTAAGATGGTCGTGATGTCGTGGGAAATATGGTCCTCTGAGATCACTGCTGTAAATGCAGTCTTCCACTGACCAAAGTATGACTCTGCGTGTGTGCGTGTGTGTGTGCGTGTGTGTGTGTGTGTGTGTGTGTGTGTGTGTGTGGTTCTATCTCTGAAGAAGCCTGTCTAGGCAAGCTCCACGACATTTGACCCTATTGATTGATCCTCTCTTTAACATTCTTCCCTGTAGCAAGAGATCCAACCACCCACCTTTGGCGCTGACCACGCCTATTTGGGCGTGGTCACAGGTGCGGACAGAAGGGGAGGATTTAGGCTGACTTTGAAGGCTTGAGCTCTCTTTCTCTTGTTGCTGGCCAGCCCACAGGAATCAGCTTGGGAGGATCCTTGGAGCTGGAACCTGTAGCAGCCTCTTTGCAAGTGTAATCTCTCCTAATAAACTCTATTTAACCTGTACTGAGCCTAGTGTATATCGGTTCCCACGTGACATTCCCCTTTCTGGGTACACACAGCATTATTGCAATAAACAATTATGCTTTCCCCACGTACTCAACTCTTCATTTTTAGGGCGAGCATCGTTTCTCCTAAAGACTGCCAGAGTGCTCTATAACACAGTAACCATTCCTTTTTCTGATGTATTATAACTCTAAGCTTTCTAGAATGTTTCCCTACTGCTTAGTTTTTTTCCTTACTCTGTAATGGAAATTGAAAACATAAGAAGTTAGGCTATCACCATCTTATCACTGTCTCATTCATTATACAAACCACTCATACCCTAAGATCACCTTCTCTTTTTTTTTTATTTGTTTGCTTATTTTTCTAGACACATTTCCTCTGTGTTGCCCTGGCTGTCCTGGAACTCACTCTGTAGACCAGGCTGGCCTCGAACCCACAGAGATCTTCCTGCCTCTGCCTCCCGAGTGCTGGGACTAAAGGCATGCATGCACCATCACTGCCCAGCCAGAATCACCTTCTCTTGAAATTGCAACATTCGTGGGCTTTAGGAACATTTTACAGAACAGAAATCTGTTGGTTTTTTATCTAAGTTGTTCTATTACCAATCAAGACTCTGGAGTCAGACATTGGGGTCAAAGAGGCAGTGGAGGAGTGACCAGACGACCTTGCCCCCTCTTACCAGACACCCAGCAGAAGTGTCTCTCCACATGCCTCATACCGAGAAAAAAAAATAGACTGCGAATCTCTAAATCCCTCTCTACTACTTCCTGTTCACCATCTCTGGGTCCATTGCCCTGGGTCCTCCATACTCTCTATGACTAATTCTTGTCAACCAGTCACTGGTTCCGCCCCCTGGTCCACAGTCTTGGAGCTTCACAGTGCAATCAAATATCTTGCGGAAGAAAGTTTACAACCAAATTCAATTTTTATGTGGCACATGCTCAGTCTTCAAGACGAATTCATAGATTATTTCTTCAGTGAAGCCTCATTTAACATCACTACTCTGAAATTATTAATTACCTCTTCATCTAACTTAGTGAATTCAGCCTGTGAGAAAAACAACAAGACTTGGAAATCTATAAACTAAATAGATGTACTGTAGCACACAGTTCAAGAGGCAAGGAAATTCAAGATCAAGGTGCTGGAAGACAGTGTGTCTGGTAAGACCCCACTTCCTGGTTCATAAATGGGTATCTTGTCATTGGATACTCCTGTGGACGGGTGTGTGTGTGTGTGTGTGTTATATGTATTTATGTGTTTGTGTGATATATGTGTACATACATATACGTGTAGAGGCCAGAGATCAACCTTGGGTGTCCTCAGTCAGTGGCCATCTTGTGCGTTGAGAAAAGGTCTTTTAATGAAACTGGAGCTCACTGTTTCTGCAGTCTGCTAATCTAGCAAGCCTCAGGTTTGACTCTCCAGTCTGGGATTACAGGCACACATCACCACGTCCAGCTCCTGACGCAGGTGCAGGGTATCAAACACAGGACCTCACACTTATTCAGCAAACACTTGAACAGCGGACCCTTCTCCCCAGTGCCTTTCGCTGTTAATCTTGCAGGTCAGTGGTTCACGCTGTATTAGCATCGGAAGACAGTTTACCAGTTATGGTTGACAGTTTTGTGCTATACAACTTCAAAGAATGTAACTTGAGTAAATCATTGGAAATCCCACAAATCGACCCTTTTAAACTGATAGAACAAAACAAGACTTGATGCATCAGCTCTTCTGGTGTTTAAATGGGACTCTTCTGGTGTTTAAATGGGACGTTCCAATTGTGCAAGTTTTAAAGGCTCTGTCAAAATTAAACAGATAGTCACAGCAGTAGGCACCCAACCTGGTTTTCTGATTTCCTACCCAGCAGATAAACGAAGTTATAATGACTCTTAAAAGGCTCGTATTTGTTCTCATGAGAGCCAAGAACCAGGAGGAGTGGAGTATTTCACAGACTAGTGAACACTCTTTCCCTAAATGGTAAGCCTCACTGAATTTTTGTGTTTTATAAATGAACTATTTCATAGTTCAAAGACAGAGACATTAAAAAGCTCACTTTTAAAAATGACTCTGATCGTCCAGGAATTATATAAAAGCAAATGGGTTTTGACCTCATTAAGGTTAAACTACACTTCTCAATATGGCAAATTAGTATGGGCTACTGATTTTCTCACCTAAATCAACCCTGGAGAAATTATAAAAGCAAGCCAGAAACATGTATTCCAAGAATGAGCATCAATTAGAAAAACCACAGGAGACACCCTTGTGGAAACAGATAATTGTGCTTTGAAAAGATGAGGGGATTTGAAAACCCTTGATTATACAGTCAAGTAAAGGCAGAAGTTAGAGTAACCTGAATACATACTACTTACAGTTGGTATGAAGTTAGGAGCTGAGACTGAATACCTCCCCTGTGCAGTCTGTGCTACCCCCCAACACTATTAGAAGGGAAGTAAAGTATAAAATGCTCAGTTGGTATGTACAGAGTCTTGGAAAATAGTGATATGTGAAAGACCCACGTGGTGTCAGAAGTGCTGTGATAGGAAAAAA